GCCAATTTGACCCACATATTTCAGGTTCCGACCGCGTCAGAAAACTGACGGCGTTCGGAGTCATGTTTCACAATTGATACATAAGCGAGCAAAAGAATTGCTGATTTCACCAAATGGACATGGGGATTTAATGGAATCCAATGGGGCTTGATTGGTTTAACTATCATTTAATTCGAATTTACCACATATTTGGGACCATGGAATGGGGGTGTTTAATGCTGGTGGGTCGGAGCGTCAACTATTTATGTAATTATGTCCCCACCTGCCAGGTGAGGGTCTTCAGATTTTAACAAAGATGAGGAAAAAGTAAAAACATCGGGCATTCTATTTCAAATTCTATCTGACATTCCATCTAGCATTCCATCTGGCAGTGTTTCTGGCATTCTAGTTTGACATAGACTCCAACAATCTTTCTGACATTCTATCTGGCAGTCTTTCTGGCATCCTATCTGACATGTGTTCGGGCGCGGTAGAGTGTCAGAATGTATATATATATATACACATATTTATATATCAGATAGAATGCCAGAAAGAATGTCAGAACATATGTCAGACTGAATACCAGATAGTATGCCAGAATAGATGCCAGATAGAAGGCCAGAACATATGCCAGATTGAATGCCAGAAAGAACGGAAGAACAAATGTCAGAATAGATGCCACATAGAATTCCAGATAGACTGTCAGAATAGATGCCAGATAGAATGTCAGAACGACAGACGGAATGTCAGGTAGCAGACTGTCAGAATATACGTCAGATAGAGTGCCAGATGGAATGTCAGATAAAATGTGCGAATATATCAGAATATATGTCAGATAGAATTTGAAATAGAATTCCAAAATACTATGTCAGGGTGGGGATCACTCGAAATAAAGCAATTTGTTTATTTGTGAGTGGCGATCCCCAATCGCAAAAACCATTCCGTGATGGTTTGAGGCCAGGCTCCAAGTCAGATTCCCGCCATTCCAAGTGATGAAACCCAGAAAAACATGGGGCAAATGTCAGGAAAAACGACAGCAAGAAAGGACTTACTCAGATTCATGGTTGACACCATGGGCGAAATTTTTTACAGTATGGTTGAATTGCTTTGGTGACCTCCCAAACGCTCGAATTTTACACTTCGATATCCAAAATCCTTTATTTCCCACCATGGAGCCATGGCCAGCAAACTTCCGGCGGCGCTACATTTGTTAAGGGCCTGGCAAGCAGAGAGCAACCAGGAGGGTGGCTGCCTGTCCAACTGCCAAATCTGACGCTTTGCGGCACACGGGAGTTGGTGATCTGATTGTTTTCTTGATTAATTAATCGGAACAAACCCGTTACCGTTTTTTGATGGATTTGTGTAACCATGGGTAGACTTAGCTAGCAGTTTGGTCCATGACTTCTTGACTTGCAGTGTTTGGGCGTACACATAGTTTTATGCGTGCACGTTAGGTTCGATGGCTCAACTGTCATTTCTTGCAAGGTGCACAATTGGCGCTGGAACAAGGAGACGTCCAACAAGTCTCAGCACTGTGGTCCCAGGGGGCTTCATTGCACCTTGGCAGCAAGTCAACCCATGTCACCAAAGTTTCGTTTCAGCAGCAACGCTTTCCCAGGACCCACAAATGGTTTCGATGTTGAATGTCGGAGGTTCCGCCAAACAGTCTTGCATAGAAAATCATTCCATATTCACTTGGATTTCTAATATATTTTCTTGGGCCAGTTGCTTACTTGGATGTGCATCCCACTTAGTAAGTGGTTTCTAACCCATATATGAACCATCATATAATCCCATATATCATATATATATATATACATAATAGTGGATATTCCATATATAACTGGTGACCAGAACCCATGAACCCATTTACTAAGTGGGATCCCAGTGACTCACGATTTGCTCGCCCAGGTACTTTGATTTTGATGACCTGGACCATCAGGAAGAGCAGCTGGACACCCAGAAAGACCCCTACCCGAGCGTGAAGGAAGTCCCGTCAAAGCCAAGGCAGCGGCGGGTCCAGGGCCTTGACCCATGAAGAATTCTGATGTTTCGATTTTGATTGGGTACCCTCTGGTAATTTAACATAGCTATTGAACATGGCCCATTTATAGTGGATTTACCCATTGAACATGGTGATTTTCCATAGTTATGTTAGTTTACCAGAGGGTAGATTGGGTCAGTTGAACGATGTTAAACGCTTGCATCTCATGGTTGCTTTGAGGTGTTCCCTGTAGATTGGAAGATTACAGACAGTGGGGTTGGGCACATTATGTTCTTTGCCGGAAGACCTCATGGAACCAAGCATGAGTCAAAACTCATGACCAGCCAGCTTACAGATTTCGCCAAGATCAAGACCCACCAGCTGTTGGTGAAACCTAGAATTGTAGGAAAAAAACTGGCGAAAGCACCCCTTTCTCGTGCAGCTTACCCAATGATTTGACCAACCCGACCCATGTTGAGCCGTATTTTTTCTGTGAGGTTTGTTGATGGTGTCGTGACCCTGCGCATCGTGGCAGCTCCTTGCTAGAACCATCGCTTTTTTGCTGTGCTAGGCATGGGATGGATCTGCTTCCGAGGGCGGCTTCAGGGGTAAAACCAATTGCCAACTACCAGCATGTTCAAGCTACTGCAGGTCTTAGGTAGAACAGAACATGTCAATCGAACATGATGATACTTGGAGATCTTTGATGTAACGCATCCTTGCGGATGGCCAGATGCGAATGACTCCGGCTGATTTTGAAGGTCTCCAAACGATAGGCCAACTGTCTGAATGCATGGGATAAGACATTTGCCGCGGTCCAAAACCTTCGCCTCGCGAACACTCTTGGGTTCATGTCTGTTGAGTTTTCCTCTAGGGTGCACTCAAACGGTACCGGCTCACCGCCAACCAATGGAAGGACGCAAACGAATTTCAGAACAGAACGTTCAAAACCAGAGAAAAATGATCAAAAGTGCAAGATCCGCTCTATTTGAGTGGCAAAGTTTTCGCTATTGGCATTTTTACAGCCAATATGGTCCCGGTATACCAGCGCTGCCGTTGTAGATGGGCCATATGTTGATCCAGTGATCTCCCGTGGTTCGAGGCCATGACTGGTGAAGATGTGTGCACACTTTGCAACACCGCCATGAGTTCGACCATCCGAAGCATCAAGGATGGGGTGCTTCCCCCCCATTCAACGACCACTAAGAAAAGATAAGAAATATAAGTAACTTATGTTAAATATATCCATATGAATGATAATCAATTGCATATCAAACATTATCAAACCGCCCCCTCTATTTGTCCTAAGAGGACGAACAATTAATATTCTATTTTTTTGGGTGCCATGTTAATCTGGGCATGATTTTGACCTGGACCTGTGGGAAAAAGAAAGCCGCAGGAGCGCATCGAAAGACTCGAGGGGACCACCCTCAACATGCAGAAGTTGTTGGGTCCACATGGCGAGGTTGGGATGGGATCATGGGACCTCGAAACCACGCTGTGGACAGCAGATTTGCGAGAGAACGGCAGCCAATCTTTGCCTCTTTTTTTCGCACAAAAAAACGGCAGCCCATCAAAATTCAGAGGTTCATCTGCGTTAATCGAGATGGCTCTGGAGTCTCTGACTGACCGAAAGCGCTGCAGCATGCAGCTGGCAGGCGACTCAGGACCAAGATCTCTTAGTTGACATCATCTCCGACGGACCTCCACAGCTGCTGTTTCTACGGTCGCTGCCCTGCTGGGCAGGTGGGGTATGGAACACGTCAGTATGGATGAACTCCTGTTTTTTGACACAAAGCTATACACTGTATACACCAGTGGGACATTTGGAAATATGAGGTAACTATCATCTACAACATCCTGGAAACACTTTTTCCTTGTTTTCTCCCACCAGCATGAAGCTGATCATCCATAGAGTTCGATGAGTTTCCCAGCTATCAACATCTGACTTCTATAAACCTCTGCAAATGTCTATAAACATCCATTAGCATCCATAACTAACCTCCATAAGCATCCATAAACCTCCATAAACCTCCATAAACTAATCTCCGTTTACTTCGGGGATTGGGACATCCATCGCCTTCTTTGACGTAGGACTTCTGGAGGAAATCCGACGCGGCGAGGTGGAGTTGCAAGATTTGGACGAAGGCCGGGATGGAATCTCTGGGGAAACCCCCAACACAAAAGGACGAAATTCCCGAGCAAAAATGGGGATTTACCCAACAAAAAGGTTGATTTACCCAAGAAAAACTTGAGATTTCGGGATTTAACCAACAGATCATAGGGATTTTGCCGAGCAAACTTGGGAATTTTAATTGGGATTCAATGGAGATTCCTCTATAAATACCCTCCGGTAATCTAGCTATGGATAAATGGCCATTTTGAATAGGTAAATCCTCGAACTAAACGGGCCATGGCTTTCATCGCTATGTTATGTTAAACTATCAGAGAGTGGAGGTTTTTGTCGCTGGGTAAATCCCTTAGTGACGGATTTTGCCATGTTTGATTACCAGAGGAGAATCCCCAGAGACTTACCATCAAAAATGGTAATGGGACCAATGAAAACTTGAGATTGAACTATGGGATTATATTCCTGTGGATTTATATATATATATATATTATATAATTATATATGCTAATATAGGAGCAAACACTACTGTAAATATGGGATATTATATATTGAACATATTGAATCATATTGAATCATAAAAAACAGATAAAGACCTGAATGCCTGGGGAATACTGTCCAACTACAATCCCATTCCCCGTTTCCCCGTTCTTTTTGTGCCCAGAGACCATGGTGGATGTGATGCCATTTTTGCCATGAGGCCGTTAGGTCAAGAAAATGGTGGTTGAATGCGACTTAATGCCACTTTACCCGCAAAGTTATGGGGATTCAAAGGAAACATCATTGATTCTGTGGGATATCCAATGATATTCACATACCCTGCGCACACATACCCTGCGTAGCGCTTGTGAATTTTATGCCGCTGATGTGGCGAGAAGTCTTGCGAATGACCTTGGCCGCGGTAACATTTGCTCGTGGCCGCCTTTGTGACCCTTAGTAACTTAGTTTTGGCCCCTCCATACACATACACACACACACATATATATATATATATATATCATACATATATGATAATAGATGTAAATAAGATTGGCAATGATGATACCTAAGCGAATTCTAACCTGTCAATTTACATGTTCAAGTGGAACATATACTTACTTGATCTTACTTGTCCTTACATGAGTTCATTCTGACATTGATGCCAGACACTGTTACAACTGAAGCGCGACATCCGCAAAAATCAGATCACCTTTGAGTCTTTGAGGGTTTAATAAGTCACAATGTTGAAGAAGCAGCCGGAATCTTCACATCTTCAGACATTTGCTTGTTCTGTTTTAGTCTCAGTAACATTTTTCTCTCCATATTTACTGGTGGGAGTCCTTCCGCCACTCGGATTGGTGAGACCCGATGCTGGCCTGGTTCTCTCAACGAAACAAAACACAGACACACAAATGAATGCAAGGACACATACAGTAACTAACACAATACATGAGAAGCAAACAAGAAATTTTGTAGATACACCACGAAAACATCACAAATCAAGTTACACACACGGATATATATATATATATACATTTGTATCATATATACAATTATATACATATACAATTATATATATATATATATACATTTATCATTAAATATTTACATTTATCATTATATATATATATATATACATTTATCATTATATATATATATGCATATAAATATATATCAATGTATATATATATATGTGTGTATATATATATATGTATATATATATATGTATATGTATATATATATATATGTATAAATATATATATATAGATGTACATATATATATATATGTATATATATTTCTATATATGTGAAAAATATATGTATATATATATATATGTACATATATGTATATATATATATATGTATATATAATGTATATAGAATGTATATATTTATGTATATACATATGCATGTATACACATTATATATATATATGTATATATAGATGTATATATATATATACACTATATACACACAAGTTTATGAAATTCCCAGGCCTGGGTGATGAGGTTCCATTCTCCCTTCAGGCGCTCGCAGCGATCGAGGCTTGGTGCTGGTGGCTGTGAGGGCCAGTCAAGGGAGAGCTTTGGAATATGCGCCTGGGTGTGGAAACAGGGAGCTGTTCCATATCTATCTTGAAAATGAATGGGATGATTTCCATGTGCACAATGAATAAGATTGTTTGGCCAGGAAACAGGGATGATTTGTTGAAACAAGATGCAGATTTCTTGCAATTCCGCGGAAATCTCCGGATTTTCCGGGAAATCACGTGCATCAGGATTTTGTGGTTGCATTTTTCAACAAAAACCGTGGGAAGAAACATGTAAAAAACATGTCATGTATCCAACATACAATTATTGTGGGATATTATGGGTATTTCATTGTATATCTACACAGGCGGTGTAGGGATAATCAACAAAAGACATATCTATCTATTTAACTGTTCAGCAGCAGATGCGGGAATCTCACCAGGCAGAAAATGGTGCTTGTTGATATTGTGGTTGAGAGATTCTCTACGTAAAATCAAATGGTGGGTTGAAGTAAGAAGCTTTGGGTGCAAGTAAAAGTCATTAACGGGGAAAAAAAGGTGGAAAACACGCAAACACAGAATGGATTTTGCAGAAAGGACATGGCAAGCAGCAAAACTGGTGCTGACCCCGTCAAAGTCAGCAGAATATGGATATCCCAATGATTGGGAGCATCTTCAAATGATGATTGTGGGATGGAGGTCATAATGAAAGTCTCACAACAGGGTGCCCCACTCATTTCAGCAACTTTGATCTGAGGCATCATGGACCCTTCGCAACGACAAGGTGTGAGAACTGACGCCTGCTTGACTCCTTGGAGCAAGCGGGAGCCACCTTGTAAGCGGAATGGATGGAAACCAAGCGATCTTGAAAACGTGGTTTTGAATGGTTTTGGTCGCTTTTGACGATTTATGGGGTCCCTTGCATCCATTGATTCAGCAAGACAGATCTTAGTTTTACCTCTGGGAGCTTATGATTGTCCGTCAAGTCCCAGCTCTACTTAGTTCACAACACTAGCCCGAGAAATTGGCGGAACTCCCATGGTGCTTGATGCGATTTTGCGTTTCTTGCGGTCCTTATTACCCTTTCTGAGAGGTGCTCATCACATCTTGCCATCCCATTTTGACCAACTGAGAAGTTTGGTGGCTTGCGAATCACATTGGTATCACTGAGGGCATTCAAAGCATGCTGTAACCGTGTTAGTTCATATTGGTTACTACCCCCTGCGAGGCTTTAGTCTTAGAGGCAGTGACTCGCAACGGCCTTTCCCTGCGGCATGCAGCAGCCAGCCTGAGGGGAGACCGTCACACGGCGGGATGTTGAATTTCCCATGGGTCAGTTGAACCTACGAAATGTTGAGAAAGCCTAGCACTCAATGGATGTGTCCTAAAAATAGGGCTACTCACGGCTACTCCTAAATCATCCATTTATAGATGGGATTTTCCATTATAAACCAACTATGTTGGGGATCCGCCATTTATGGAACCCCCAAAATGGAATTCTCACTGCACAAGATTGGGGTAACAGGTACATGAGTCCGCAATGGGTCCTCTTAGGCCTTCGGCTACAAAGCCATTGGCTGACAAAATAGTCTTGCGTTTGCCGTTGGCTGCCAACCTAGCTTTGAGGGCAGATAGTCGGCCCTATACCAGGCCCTATAGGGCCCTGGTAACCAGCGGTTGATCAGGAATCAGAGATGTTCAACATCAATCTCGAATTCATAATATTTCCAGATTAGCTACTTCAACCACCAAGAAAATCAAGCAGGTTTTCACTCCACTTTGGCTTTGATGTTTATGAATCTTCCATTTGCTGGTAAACCTGCGTCTGGTTTGTGGTTTCAAATGTTTGTTTTCATTTTCAAGCAGGTTTGGACTGATGCTCCCCAATGACTTATTTCAGGGGGCCCAACCCACCAGCCATTTGTCGATAGTTAAACCTCCACATATCTCCACATGACTTTTGATAAAACCCAAGATATGTGAATCTTACTGTTACCTCATTATTTTCGAGCTAAAACTCCATAGTTCAAACATCACCAGGTACGCTTCTGAACATAACATGTTTTCATGGTGAAACTTGACTTCTCTCAGAATTGGCGAGCAAACATCTGCAGGAAGTTTTGGAAAAAAACATGGGAAAAACCAGTTGTTTTTGTTCAATATTCTGTTCAATCATCCCAATGAGATGTCCATTCATTGTCGGATTCGTTGATCATCCCCATGATATATTCATCAAACATATCCCGATCTAAGCTTCACATTTTCTCCCACACTTTTTCCATGATATCCCCGTGATATGATATGATATAATATTATATACGTTACATAATGCATTCTGTACACAATTGATAATTATGACCCTCTCTCTCTCTATATTCCCGTGATATCATCCAACATATGCCGCCTCCTCCTTTCACAGATTATCCCATATTATCCCATCATACCCCCATATGATCATATATTATCCCATATTATCCCATTATACCCCCATCATATTGCCATGGCATTGATCCCCCATATCCCCACGGCCCGGGACAGGTGACGTGGTGCTTGCGGCGGTGCGCGACTGCCCCATGGCCCTGGAACACGCCAGCGAGCTGCTGCGCCGCGACCGTGACTTCGTCACCATGGCCATGCGCATCTCCGTGCGCGCCGCGGGGGGCTTGAGCCAGGTGTGGGGATGGGGGATGGTGGGGGATGGTGGGATTGGGGGAAAATGGTGGGAACACTTTCCAAAAAATGAGGGATGATTGATATGGAAAATGTTGGAAGATCTTGCATTTTTGACTGGATTTCTGATGAGTGGCGTGATTCAGCGGTTTCAAACGGCAGGTCAGATTCAACACTGATGCATGATTGGCTGAAGAGCTGAATAATCTTAAAGTATCTTAAAGTCTCATCACCTAACTGCTCGGGAATACACATGCAGTCAGCAGGATATTGGCACAGGGGCCAGTCAATTTTCAGCTACTACAGACTTTCAATTCCATGCAATCTTGGATCTTGGCAGGTTACCCTAGGTTAAAACCAACATAGATGTGGAAAAACCACCATTTGTAGAATATTTTCCTGGGGAAAACATGGGTTTTCCACGTCTGTGTCAGTTTATCCTAGGGTAATTGACCTTTGCTGCGATTCAATTGACTGATATTTTGATACACAATTGGATTGAATTGTATCAACGCCCATTTTTGTACAAATGATTCACCATCATTCACCATTTAGTTGATGTAGTTGATCTGAAGTCTAAAGTTTCGGTGTGTTTCGCATGTATATATATAATTTCCATCATATATCGGTAGTTATTTATCACAGCTATGGAAGCCATAGCCCATTCAGTTCGATGATTCCCGGCGCAAACTGCAGCTTGAAACTAGCTGAGGCATGCTTATCTCCCATGAAATCCCAAAAGATATGCAATATGTTGATGGCTAAACCATGTAAATCCCACCTCTCCTTCAATGGGTTGGTTGGAAAATTTGGCTGCAGGAGTTGTCCTCGGACCCCGCCTTCGCTGGGCGCCTCCTAGAGCTCTTCCCCAGCGCCTTGGTCTACCTCTCTGGGAGCCTGCGCCGGTCCAAGGTGCCCCGTGCCCGGTGTGTTGTGCTCGGTTGATGGCTAAGGTAGGGCTGTTATAATGTGGTATAGATATAGGCGAAAATTTCAGGATGATGGGATTTAGGTATCGAAAATTAAGGATATAAGGTGGATTATGGCATTTAGCAATCTATTCCAAAAATGGGGTGTTTTCATGGATACATGATGGTCGATGGGTTTCTATACCAACTGGCCTATCGCCGACCAAGTTTTGATGAAATATGATGGGATGGGATAGGAGTATCTTTCATGTTGGAGGTTCCTGTGTTTTTGGCAGATTCCAGGCCGACAGTGTTCAATTTTTTTGTGGAAAGATCATGCCTTTACCCTTTTTGGAGATCCGGAAGTGAGCAGATCCGCTCCACTGTGGTTTTTGGGCAGGTGTTCAGTAGAAGGGATCAATTTACAAGGAGTAACTACCCCACATCATTTTCCCAGTCTATCCACATAAAAATCCGTGGACTATGGCCGGCAAGGTGTTCCCCAGTGATGTTTCTTGGTTTAACTCTCCCCATACTACAACTAGTTCGATAAATATCTACCCTCAACCCAAGAGTTATGGGAATTGTGTTTACTAACTTGGTGGAATCGAACCATAGTTACCCTATATATTTATTGATATTGAGCTCCATTTATCAACTATCATAGTCAATGAACTTCTATGGGGTTTATGTTGTAACCTAGTTAGTTAGTTAGTTAGCTAGTAAGTTAGTTAATTACTCAATGTTGGTAAAAGCATCAATTAGACCATCCCCCATTCATCACCATGTTTTTTTCGGTGGTCTATTACTTAACCATTCCCATGGCATCGCCGGCATCGCCGCCGTGGGGCGGCGGCGGAGGACTTCATCCTCCAAGCGGTGCAGAAGAACGGCGAGGTGCTGCGCTATGCCTGCGGCTGGCACTCAGAGCCCGAGGTGGTGCTCACGGCCATTGAGAAGGCCATGGTGAAGTGCCGTTGCTGCGGCTGACCACGTGGTGGTTTCTGTAAATGGGGGGTGCTCCAAAAATGGATGGTTATGGAAAATCCGATTGACATGGATGATTTAGGGGTATATACCCCCATTTTAGATAGATAATAACCATCTCAGACTATGGGTTAATGATGTCAATGGTCTTTCATGGGAAGAGGAAAGGCTTACCATCTGATAATAGATTAGACGGATGGATGGAATAGAATATGGTGAACTGATAATGGATGGATAAGTGAGCTGGTTAACCTGTCATCCTCCCATCTATGGCTAATTTGAAGTGCCTAGGGTTAATTGTGCAGAGATAAATAGATCATAGATGGATGGAATAGAATAGATGAGATTAGATAAGATCAAATTCCATAATCGGATGATATATTAGTAGTATATATTAGTATATATACGTATATCATTATATATATATACGTATATATCGTTTTGTTTATATTGATTTTTATTTGTTCGCAAATGGCAGTTGCCATCACCAGTTTTTTTCTGATCCAAGTCTTGGAAGCCTTGACTCAGCAAGGGACAAGTCACGATAGGTCCTGTTGAACATCTTCACTTTTACATACCATACATGCAGTTTTTTGCAAAACAATGATATTTCTATATAGAATAAATGATATAAAGGAAATAAAATGATATAGAATAAATGATATAAATGAATACATGATATTACATTCTCTATGTAGAATAAATGATATAAATGAATCCATGCCTACTTTGATGCATGTTTTGCTGACATCGTGGCTGAACCACCACCAGTCAGTGTTTGTTCAATGTATATAAATATGCACAGAGCGGTTCCAACACCAGCAAGATCGGAAGAAGTTATAACTTGGCTGACATGTGCGCCCATCTAACCATAGCAAGAGTAGTACACCTGAGTTTGCCTAGCTATAAGCCCAATTTTTGGTGGGTGAAATCTCCAATTGTGGTAGCAAAACATATCGAACGGCGGCCGTTTCAGGCCTCACATGCGGTGCACTACGTGGACAGTCGACTTCGACAGCGCGTCGAGTAACTTGGCGCTGTGCGGCGCAGAGTGCTGTGCAGTCCAGGTGTCACTGGCTGCCACTGGTTGATGACATACCTTGCATGTATATACAGATGTATATGTATATATATATATATACATGCGTGAACATAAATATAAACCTGAATATAAATATAAGTTTAAAATTAGATATACATATATATATATATATAGACACTGTACAAAGACATGTGCATATATGGATGTGTATGCGTATTTGTACACATGTATCTATACAGAGAGAGAGAGAGATATCAAGATACAACTGAGTTATGAGAATGGGTATTCACCATTGTGACAACTCGGGGACCATAGCTGAAACACCGAAGGTGCATGCAGGTGAAAAAATGGAAGTGGTCTCGAAAGGGGTAGCAAGGAGGGGCCGTCCTTAAAGTCCGAAATCGATGTGTTTGATTTTTTCAAAATCAATATGGTCCACCACCCCATTTATGGCCATTTGATTAGTACTAGGAAATCTCACGATTAACCATGGCGTGTGGGATTGTTCTTTAAATTTCAATCAAACCCTACATACTCCTTGGAGGTCGACATGCCTGTGCGTCCCGGAATGGTTTCAGGGGAACTGCAGGAACCTCAAAGTTGACATTTAGATTGTGGACCAATGATGAACACATTGTGAGCAAAACAAAAATTGACGTTGAATTTTACAAGTCGTTCTTCGGGCCTCTGCTCCTCACGCGACTATGGAACAACTTCTCCGTTCCGATGTTTCCTGCAGTTTTTTTCCCCAGCTGAACCTTGAAATTTGAACTCTGACTAATTATCAAAATATTGGATGATAGCTGATGCAGCTTGATACAACCGATGACACTGATGAAACACAAAAAGATCACATACCCATAGGATCCATGTATGCCATATATGGTAACATTTACCATCAATATACCCCCTTTATGTTAGCATATATACCAGCACCATGGATCCTATGGGATATAAGTATCTCAACAAACCCCGGTGGTTTCCCGCCATTCTTTCCGGTGCCGAGCTTCGGCCGTGCCGCGGTGCTGGTGAACTGCTGGTCCTTCGAGCAGCTGCCCTCGCGGCACCGGAGCTCCTTGCCGCTGGCCTTGGAGGCGGCACGAGCGCAGCCCGCCTTGGCGCACTTCGCCACGGAAGGCATCCGAAATGAAGTGGTCTATCTGATTAAGAAGGAGCAGCCCCTTGGACTTGGGATTTTTATGGATTTTTGTTGCCGGATTTTTGTTATAGATGATTGATGGCAAATGTTTTTGAAATGCCGAGCTGGTTTTGATGTTGGGTACTGGAGACTTTGGGCGGACTTTTGGTTGGGACATGCTTTTGGAAGGTTTTTGGAGCTGATTTTTATGTTAGGTAGTGGATAATCCCTGCTCCCTAGTACTAAAACCTTCCTAGTAATGAACCCTCGGAGGATCCTGGAGGAGTTTTTCAGTATTAGGTGGTATTTAGTTTTAGGGCGCGAAACTTCCCCTAAATACTCAATTAAAAAGCTGAAATTGTTGATAAAAACGAAAAGCCAAGGTTCCTCCAACATTAAATCATTAAATTAACACCTTAATGACCAAACTAACGTTTCTATTGCAAAATCGGTTAATTAATTTCCTTCTTAAACCCGGACTAACTTATTATAAATTATTGCAAAACATTGGATTTCGAAGGTTCCCCCAATATTAAATTACAAACTTCAGCTTCAAATTGTTTTCTACAGCGGATCAATTAAACATCAAATTGGCCAGCTTCAAACTTCCCAATGTTGAAAAGGGGTCTTGGTTTTTAATATTTGGGGTACGTTTCGTAATAGGGAGAAGGGCTCATTTTTCCGGATGGTTGAGTGTTTTTTTTTCTCCTGATGTCTGTAATTTTGGGGAGTATGAACTGAAGGAGTAGGGTTTTGGCTCCTTTTTCTTCATTTCTTAGTAGAGGTATATATTTTTTTTTTGGACATTAGCCTTGGATGGCTGCTTTAAAACGTTGCTTAATGTTTGTTAATGTTTTTGGATGTTAGAGACTGCCTTGTGAAATGACTTAAACAGCTCCAAAGGAAAAATCAACACTCATCTTTGCTTAGGTCTGAAGCGATTGGAGCGCCGAAAGGTTATGTGGAGGGCCCCGTGTGGTGGATACCTGAAATTTCGAAGCAACCGGAAAGGGCGGAAGCACTGTCCACCGCGGGGAAAAAATGAGGGGCCAGCGGCACGGCCAGAGTCTCGTTGCCGGGCTGTTCTTTGGATTGTGTTGGCTCAGTCAAATTGGAAGTGAACAACTCATGTGGCAAACCATGACTGGGGGGCAACCATCCCAGGTACCCAACAACAAACATCAACCACAAAAATGCTGCAGATTTGGCTCAACATGGCACCATATGGCACCTGTGGCGCAGTTCACTTTGAGCCAAGCACACGTGCAGTCACTATGTCACTATGCAGTCACTATGCGTAGATATGCGTAGTGTAGAGAGTGGCATGCGATTGAACAAACTACAGCGATTGAAGGTTCCTTAGCGCCAGACAAAGTGATCAAACGTGGCAGCACAAATAACACGTGGAATTTGAGAAGCATAATTTTCCATTTTTTGCCAAACTGGAACATGAAAGCCAGAAGGTAACCATATGAAAGTTTCATAGGCCAGCAATCTTCAAGGTTGCAGGTGGGATTCAGCAACGTTTTGACCGCACCGGGCATGGGCAAAGCCCGAGCCGCCAAGGTGGGTTTGCCATGGTCAAGGTATTCCAAGGGTATTCTGAAGGTATTTAAGGATGACTGAAGAAATGGATAAACATGGCTAATGTCAATTTGGTAAATCCAATCACAAACCAATTCCAAAAACACTCAGAAATGGGTCCTATAAACCATCCCCAAATGGTACGTTTATGGTTTTGGCTTGCCCACATTACATCAGTTTGTGGAGCCATTCTTGGTCCCTGCCATTTTTGTCCGATGGTCGCAGCCACAGGCTGAGCCTAAAAAGGAACCAGAGAAGGGCAAGGCATGGGGGAAATCACCGGTCATCATGTCCTCGTGCTTTGGGTAGCTGATTTTTTCCCCTCTCTCCCTCTCTCTCTCTCTCACTATATATATATATATATGCACATGTGTTATATATCTACATGTGCATTTATGTTTAACCTTCAAACTGTCGGTTCTTTGTCAAACATTTGCGCACTTTGACTTCAGGTTGGTAAGATTATGATGGAATATGGAAAATGACCCATTTATAGATGGTTTACCTATTAAAAATGGTGATTTTCCATGGCTATGTTAGTCATAACCAGAGGGTATATTGAATTAATTGCACCATCTGATGTATGACATGAATTAATCGTGGCAGCCTGCCGTGCAGGCTGACAAGGCGAAAGATGCCAAGGGTGGCAAGACTGAGGCTAAGGAGCCTGCCAAGGAGCCTGCCAAGGAGCCTGCCAAGGAGGATCCCAAAGCCAAACTGCCCGGGAACCCACTGGGGACGACCAGTGATGTATCGCCACAGTTGTTGATGATGATTCTGGCGAAATTGAACTCATATGTAGTCCCATTCCCTATTTGTTACTAGCCCTGACTTGCACAAAATTGAGCATATATATATATATATACTCATTTTAGAACTCGGAACATTCCGTTAAGGGTTTTTGTTAGCAAAACCTTCAAGAGAGGAACATAATGTAAGCCTGAGCCCCTTCAAACGGTGACTAAAAGAATCTAAAAGAGCTGTTGCTTTTGCAGTTGCTCTACACTTCACATGTCTCTGACATGGAATTGCACACAGTCAAAATCATTCAAAATCCATTCGCAAGCTTCATACTATATAAGTACAATGCCATAAACCACCCCTGACTGGGAATGGTAAAGATACCACCTGTAAAAATGGTGATGACTGGGGGATGGTTTATGACATTGTTTTAGCAACATTATTCGTGTATTGCAGGACGTCCAGCGGCCCAGCGTCCCTGAGCCTGAGGCTAGAGGAAGCGAAGCAGAAGTATGCGGATGATGAGTGCGACTCCCAGCGGGTCATTTTTTTTTGAAGGTTCATTATCCATCAATTTATTGGGTATATACATGGGATATATCTATACACACATATATATATATATATGGGATATCAACTTATTAATTTTTCAGAAGTATCTATACATATAATTATATATATATATATATACATAATTATATATATATTGATTGATTTACATGGACTTACCATTTAGAAATATCAAAATTACATAAATTATCCAACTGGGAATCCATTGAAGTTGGGTATCCACTGGCTTCATCCTTTTTTTCTGTTTCTGTATATCCATTTATCCATCCATCAACCTATATATATATGCATATGTGTGTGTGTGCACCAAAAAATAAGGAGATCAGTAGACAAGTGCACCGATGAACTTCGCATGCATTTGGGATGGGATCTCAAAAAGCAACATCACGACGTGTCACGATGTGAAGGATGGCAGATCATCCCCAAATGACCTTATTTTAGGTTGGTGAATGATTTTGATGCATGCTGTATCATACTTTATCCAGAAACGGGGAACAACCAACAATCCTACAATCTTGGAATTCATGAGGATTTTTTGTGGCATCATTTTTGAACAGCACCGAAACGTCGGATTTCAAAATCTCACACAAACAACAGTTGTTTCCGAAAAATCATGAACATCCCCCTAAATAGTAGTTCAAAATCACCATGAAATTCATGAACAAATCCTTAAAATCATGAACATTAAAATCACCATTAAAATCACCATGAACATCATGAACAAAATCACGAGACTTTCTGAGGAAACCCATGGGAAATCGCCGCCAGGAGGGATGAGCTGGCCAGATCTGAGCTGCTGGAAGCTGAGATCGTTGCTGTGGGGTATCGCTTTAGAATTCACCACAGAGCACGAAAAAAAAAACGTAGGAGGCAAATTCTTTGCTACCAGCGCCGAGGCGAAAGCAGAATCGGGAAGCCAAGGTTCGACTGAAAAGGATCCAAAATTGACAAAGACGTATGGATTGAATGGGAAGATCATGGGAAATTCCTTGGTAAATGATGGTAAATGCAGGTTTTAATAGGAACATCAACTATGATATCATCCTGGATTTGCTGAAGATGATCTGGCTGTTTTTTTTCTCAACGGAACATCCATTATTGGGGAATCGATTAGTATATTTTTTTTGGGGGTGGGTTCTTTAAGCAAATCCAAGTTGTGTCCGAATTCAGACTTACAGTATTGGTCGAAGGGAACATCTCCAAGAAACACCCAGAAACCTTACCCTCTGGTTATTTAACATAGCCATAGATGGCCCATTTATTGATGGTTTACCCTTTAAAATTTTTGGTGATTTTCCATGGCTATGTTAGTTATACTGTAACCAGATGGTAAAAACAATCCAGTTTCCTGATGGATTTTCCCTTAAAACACCCCTCTCTGAGATCCATTGAGAATTTCACCGACCGGTGACCATTCAATTTGCTGCGACCACGAAAAGAATCAGTAAGGATGACACTCCAAATCCGTGTAGAAATTCGCATTGATTCATGCGGCTATATTGTCAAAGTTTGAGGCTCCCACCCAATATTACATGATAATTATTACATGATATTGGATGTATATTAGATGTACAATGATGTACATCATGTTGATTTAAAAACAATGGAGGTTTGAATTACATTGAATTATTATAACATAATTTATTTATTTCAAATAGTATATATATAATATTTGCAATGGTTAATTATTATATACATCTATTAATTCCAACCACCATAAGAATAAACACATCTAATATTTCACATCCTCTTGTTATGCATGAGTTAATATATATATATGACACACACACACACATATATATATATATCAAATCACCAATATATTTTATGTACACACTATTATACTTATATGTACTAATTGTACACACTGATATATACAACTATTGGATGTGTTGTTTTTTCCACCATTAATTTAGATCATCGCCATCGCTTTGGCCCTGTCGCCAGGCCAAAGGCCCTCAGCTCTCAGGGTGATCCTGGCAGCTTAAACTGAAACGAATATATTTCTGTATATAGATACAGATATGTCATATACACATGCATGTAATATAGATAAGTAGAGTATATTATATTATATATATAATTTGTATTGCATAAGATGTAATTTATATACACAAAACCAATTGCATGCCACTCTCTGTCTCTCTCTCTCTCTCTCCATAGATGAGACTAGACTTTGAATGTCTTGTGTTTGTTCGTTTCATGCTAGTTGGATGTCAAAATGTGAAGGAATCAAAGCGACAATGCCAGGAATCGTGACAAGAGCATCGCTCGAGTCACACGCTTCCAAAATAGGCGCAGGGCCAGATGGGATGGGTTATGTTTGGGCGCTGTTGATTGGTATTTTGCAAATGCTTCTTGAACTGTTTGCAAATGGTGTTTTTTGCAGAAACAACTGGAAAGAAGTGCCTGGATTCAGCGGATAATTGGAGGTAATTTAACAATTTCAACTGTTTGCCATGGAAAACGGTTCATTTATAGATGGTTTACCCTCCGACTAACATAGCCGAGGTGGAAACCTACCGTCTGTAAACGTTTTCCGGAGGAAGACGCGTTTTATTTTCACATCTTTTTGTATGTTTACCCTAGGGTAACTCCCATAAAATTCCCCAAAATCCATGAAAATCCCACAAAAATAAACAACCCATAAAAATCCCATAAAATCACCCAAAATCCATGAACATCCCATACAAATCCTATTAAAATCCCATAAAAATCCCATCAAAACCCCATAAAAATCCCATAGAAATCCCATTAAAATCTCATAAAAATTCCATTAAAACCCCATAAAATACAATAAACATCCCATTAAAATCCCATCAAAATATCATAAGAACAACATTAAAATCCCATTAAAATCCCATAAAATCCCATTAAAATCCAAAAAAAAATCACATACAAATCCCATAAAATCACCACAAATCCATGAAAATCCCATAAAAACCAAATTAAAATCCCATAAAAATCCCATCAAAATCCCATAACAATCCCATTAAAATCCTATTAAAATTCCATTAAAATCCCATAACATGCCATAAAAATACCATAAAATACCATAAAAATCCCATCAAAATCCCATAAAAATACCATTAAAATTACCATTAAAATCACATTAAAATCCCATAAAATAAAAAAAAAAATGTCATAAAAATCCCATAAAATCCCATTAAACCCTGTAGAACCCAATTAAAAATCCCATAAAAGTGTTTTTACCCCCAGGGTGCACATACCCCTGGTGACATGAGTTGCCGTCGCAGGTTGAAGCTTTTTAAAGGCGAGGCTGAGATGGATGCGGTGATGAAAGACGTGGCCGCTCGATGGCACGACTGCGGAAAGAAGATGGCCATTTATATAGTAATGTGGTATAAATAAACAGGAATGATGCGGTTAAAACAATGTCATAAACCACCGTAACCACCCCATTAGTTAGTCAGTCAGTCAGTCAGTCAGTCAGTGAATTAGTTAGTTAGTTAGTCAATGTTGGTAAAACAATGCCATAAATTATCCCCCAAATCACAATTTTTATAGGTGGTATGTATAAACATGTATAAACCATTCCCAGTCATGGGGTGGTTTATGGCATTGTTTTACCCACACTACAGTAAATATCCTGGAAATATAGTAACAGCCTGTAGTGTGGACAGTATCCTGTAAAAAAAAGATACTTTAGGACATTTGATACCTCAAAATCCATTACTCTGGGTAAATTATAACGACCTCACTGTTCTCCCTCACTGGAACCATGGTCAATAAGGGAAATCATCCCCAAATGGCTTTAATTCAGGTGAGTGAAATATGATAATTTACCCAGATTACTTAAGTTGGTATATTTAGCATTTCCCCAGATCGCTTTGTCAATGATCGGTAGCTCCTTGGATCCCTTGCTTCGTCCCATGAATGCACGGCCTCGGTGTGCCAAGGATTCTGTTGATGCTTCCAAGTACGTCTCTGTTGGCATCTCAGGGGAACCGGTTCAAAAAGGTATGCAACTTGGCAGACTGACCATGGTCAGAAGATCTATATATGCACACACACATATATATATATATGTATATATGTATGTATACATACACAATTCATCGTAGAATACTTATATAGATCAATATCTAGACGGATGTTGACGTCTCGCACTATGTTCAAACCGTGTAATTACGTACAGTTCTTAGCAGGTGGGTCCTAAGACGAGTCTGACGAAGGTTGATATTGGTCATTGTGCCCCCACCTCTATAGTTGACAGCTTTCATCCTACATGTGGGAGATG